CTTTTTTAATAGGATCATTTCTGCCATGAAATTTATTTTAATTTGCATGATATTAAAATAATTTTCTCATTCTGCCCTCAGAGAAATTTCCTGTAAGCATTTCACATGTCTTTTTTGTTTTTGCCACACCCACAGCCTAAGCCTTTGTAGGCCCTCAAGAGATACTTACTGAACTGAATATCTATTATACCTTTTACATTTTAAATTATTACCTTCCTGCCCTTTTAAATGTTTATATTGTTATCTGTTGGCGAAATATTGCAATTTTACTCAGGTTGGGGAGTGATAAGTACACACGCTGCATCTTCATCATCTTCCTCCTTCCCCCTGCTAAACCTTCCTCTCCTTTCCCAGATCTCTTTCATATCCCTAGAAAGTACCTCCTCAGTTCCTGTACAAAGTCCTCCTTGAAATATTTCTAAACTTTGACTTTGCAAAGCAGCACAAGCTGCATGGACACCTTTGTTTGGAGAACATATATTTGTCCTAAACTTCATTTTAAGACACCCTGAGAAATGCTAGATTCAGGAGTCAAGTGATAGAATCTTGCTTACATTTCAGTATTTCTAATCTGGAAAGGCTAACAGCTTACATCAAGTGGTGGTATAAGGTCAAAGGGACAGCTTGACACCAACATTTAAAATGTACACAAAGTTCTCCTAAAATTAAAAGAAATTCTGTCCTACTTAAGTTACAGGCCTGTTCTCCTCTCACTTAAGGTAAAGCTAGTCAAAAGGGTATCTCCATACTCCATTGCCCTGCAGTTTTTCTCTCATATTTTTCTGATGTCAGTCCCACCAGATAAGTTATAGTTTAGTATAGATAAATGATTCTCTGTACAATCTTTGTGCTGTTTTCATTTATTAGATTCACAGTTGTTCCTGTCTATCACAAGTCAAAGCTCTGCTAATAATTTCAATTTACTGATTTTTGTTGCTTAATGATATGCATAATAGTAGAAATTCATCCATGAAGACACAGCAAGATCAATTACTTTCTTCCTTATAATATGTTATGAAACTTGCAGGTGTTTGAAAGCCAGTCATAGGTATAATACAAACCCAATTCTTGAGTTTATTCATATTTCTCAAATAAAAAAATCTCTATGTCTGCCTTGGTAACAAAATTCTTCCGATAGTACTGAATTCCCCTCATCTAGAAAGGGGAGATTCTTCTTCTCTTATTGTGATAGATCACAGGGACTCTTAGGTTCTATTTACTTAGACTATTTGTTTGAACTATGACTTTTCTAAACTGAAAAATTATCCTATTTTTAATACAATTATTATTTCTGAGTGCACAAGACAATGAATATTGTTTTGCATGACTACTGAAATTTTGTTTCCTTAGTTTTCTATTTTTGAAAGTAAATTAGATTAATATGGTGAATAAAGAGTATATACAGCCATTTTCTCATAAGCTTCAAATACATTTTATGAATTACTAATTCATGTAGATACAGAAAAGGTGTTGCAAATGAAGCTGATAACCATAAGCAAACACTGAAGTTCTTAAATGTTAGAAATGATAAAATAATACTGACATGGAGAAGGATCTCCAGTGGTAAAATAGCTGTTGAAATAGAAGTACATGGACTGTGGAGATAGCTCAGTGGTCTAAGTGCCTCTCTGACAAGCACAAGGACTCAGGTTCAATCGCTGGTACCACATGTTGTGCTGGTCACACACCATGGCAGCCATTGAAACCAGGTGTGGTGGCACACACTTGTAATCCCAGTGCTGGAGAGGCAGCCAGGAGGATTAATATGAGTCTGAGTTGAGTACTGACCCCCTGTACCAAATAAATAAATAAATAAATAAATAAATAAATAAATAGATTTTTAAAATGTATTTGGTCTACAGGGTGTTCAAGGTCTCACTACATAGGTTGGACTCATAGAGATCATCCTATTTTCAGCCTCTCAAATGTCGGGATTATAGGCGCGCACCACCACGCCCAGTCTCAATTGCCTATGTAGGCACTTTAGTCTGCTGAGCTATCTGGCCGGCCTTTAAGCTATTTTTCAAAAAGATGATAAAAAGAGAAATATAAGTATGTGTGCCAAGTATGTGGACATATCTGCACATGTTTCCCTGTGACAATCTTGTAATTGTGTTCAAACTTCAATTAAAATGGTAACATGGGCAACCTGTTTGGGCTTTCCTTCTGTCCCTCTCTAGAGAAGGAGCTTCCCCCCACAATAAATATATTCTTCTCTTTAAACAAATGAATAAAGAAATCCAACTCACACTTGTCTTACGTGAGGAAAGAAAGTTTAAGAAGCTGTTTATCAAATACTGAGTAGGCCCTGTCTACATTTTTTGCTGTGTGATGTACATAACAATCCTCTGTGCTAACTGTATGATTAAAAGTAAGATTTATCCACATCAAAGCTGTATAATCAAAGACATCATTAAGAGTTGCATGTACTCTTTGACAATAGTTATAAAATTAATATTTATACTGATGCATTAAGGATAGAATTTCGCATTCAAAATAGGAACCTGGCTTTCAGATACAATTAAAGACAGAACATTCTTAACATCTGTGTGTGTGTACCTGTGTGTATGTTTGTGTGTTCCATGAGAGTGTCTTGAAATGGGTATGATCAGGAACAAAGAGGAGAAGTGACAGTAGCGTTCCAGCATTCTAGCATCGGGGTCAGGAAGTCATTGATTCTGAACTCCTCACCTCCACAGTCTTGGTGAATGAGGCTATGTCCTCCTGGGATAAGATTGATACTGCAATAGCTTATTTAACAAGGACAACTGGATATTGAGTCCCCTCAGGGATAAAGATAACGCAGATGGCACCCAGTGAAAACAACATCACTGTCCCAGTCAAGGAGCAAGACCTGAGCCTCCTCTGAGAAATGATTCTTCCTGACAAGTATCCCACTGGCTCCTTTATTTTATGTGCATTTCTTGAAGACATATTGTCCATCTTCAGCTTCCAGGTAAAGGTGTTCAATATCATTCACGATGAAACCAAATAGAAAACACACGACACTTAGTTAGTATTCCAGAAATGATTGCAGATGTTTTATGTAATTTCACATGAGGAAGAAAAAGACAATAAATTAATGAGAAGAATATTCACTATGGTTCTGCTATTAACTCTTTCCACCTTCACCCACTGTTATGCATGAGATCTGATGAAAAGGCATGGATAATATTAAATTTAAAAATTTTTATTATACTAGGTATGATTATCTTCAAAGTAGTTACTCTCCTACTACCTTGTTTTGAAATTCTGTATCATTTTTATTGATTTTTTTCTCTTTGAAATAAGAAAGGAGTGTCAAAGTTTATTTTTTTGTTTTTAAACTTTAAATTTTTATTCATTTTAATGAGAATAAAGGTAAAATAGCAATGAAGCAGTTTCAAAACAGTTTAGTAGGATGGTTGCAATAGTTAATACTAATATTGTTTAGACCAGATGTCATGTCAAAGGTTGAATTTTTGAATCAATTCAGGACATCAAGAGCGGTAGAAGAGTGGAAATGAAATCACACATGAAACATGACTAACAACTGCTGTAGGAAGTGGCAAGAATGATAACTGTGCTTGAAGTTGGGGAGGGGGTATTTGGATGGTGATGACTGGCAATGTGTTAACATAATTATAAACAAATAATCATTCACAAGGTCAAGAGGCAAGAAGGAGGGGAGAGAAAATAAGTGGAATAAAGATATGTCATGTATAGGAATCTCAAGAACTACTCTGGTTTCTCTTCAGATCATGTAAATCTTTTGTCTTTTCAAGAAATGTAAATATTGTATGCTATAGACATGATTAACAATATCAACAGGGAAGATTGAGATAGGGAAATTAGAGGAGAGAGGAGAAGGGAGGGGGAAGTGGATACTCAGCTATAAAGGAAGAAAAACTTGAAGCCTTCATATGTAAGTGGATGCAACTAGAGGCTATACTCATAAGTGAAATAAATCAGGCCTACATGTGTAAATATCATAGTCTCCCTAGTGTAAGAACTCAAAAGAAGAAATAAAAATAGAAAGGTATAACACAATTTTTAAATTAATTTTATTGAGAAAAAATTGCAATGTGACAGCTTCATAACAGGTTGGTAGGAGAGTTACAACAATTCATACATGGCATATTGTTGTCTTTGTAGCAGTCATTCATAACACAGGATGCAGACATGATATCCTGTCCAAACACTATTAGTACAGATCTTTCTTCTTATTGAATTAAGGGAAAGTAGCTATATATCTATCCTAACTATTTTGTATATACAGATACTAAATTGTCCTTCATTTATATTTCCTTTTTTTGTTTAGCTTCAGAGATGGGTATTCCATTACCATCTAAATATTGTGGGTGTATGAATTCAGCAAAATATTCCAATATATTCCAGTGCTCCACAATAGTAGTGAGTCATCCACAGGACTGGCAATGTCTGAATCTGATGACTTGAGCCTTCCACAGCTCTGCATATGAACATGGCTTCACTTTTCCTACCTCATTTCTACACTTTTCTGCTGGATGGTTAAGACCAAGATAAAGCAAGACCTATGTAACAAAAAAATGTAACTTTTGTATCTGACATGGTCAGTCAAATCCCCTCAGGACTTATCCCGAAACCCTGTACCACAGTTTGCAGATCTTTTGTCAGTGTCAGCCGTGTGGATGAGTCATGGCCATTGCTTAACTTATTTGCTTTCTGAGAAAGCCTGAGACAATGTTTTCTCTCCATGTGACTCTCTTCAGGCACACACTACATGATCGATCACATTCCTCTGTGGCTCCATAATCTTGTTGATCAGAAAATTTGGTATAACACAGTTAAAAGGAAAGCGAGAACTTAAGGATTAGGCAAAATTTCAGAGATTGTGGGCGTGAGACCTTCCCTACCTCTGTGTCCACTGAAACCCTCCAGACCGAGCCCAGGCCTGGCATGTGAGTATATGCTTATGTCATACAACCTCTGAAATATATTTTATGAACCTTGTTACAGCTTCTTTTGAATAATAGTTGCTACACATGGAAGCTGGAAATGAAACAGCAGTCTCAGAATTCCTTCTGCTGGGTCTGACTGAGGATCCGGACCTGCAGCCCCTCATCTTCAGCCTGTTCCTGTCCATGTACCTGGTCACCATCCTGGGGAACCTGCTCATCCTCCTGGCCGTCTGCTCTGACTCCCACCTCCACACCCCCATGTACTTCTTCCTCATTAGCCTGTCCCTTACAGACATTGGCCTCAGCTCAAGCACAGTCCCTAAGATGCTGCTGAACATCCAGGCACAAGTTCAGGGCATCTCTTACCCTGGCTGCATCACCCAGGTCTGTTTAGTTTTGGTTTTCAGCGGTTTGGAAACTTGTCTCCTTGCAGTGATGGCCTACGACCGCTACGTGGCCATCTGCCACCCACTTCGCTATGCAGTTGTTATGAGCACCCGCATGTGTGTGGCACTGACTCTCCTGTCCTTGTCCATTAGCATCGTGGATGGGCTTCTCCACAGTCTGATGCTCCTAAGACTATCCTTCTGTGCAGAGCTGAGAATCCCACACTACTTCTGTGAACTCGCTCAGATCATCAGGTTCGCCTGTTCTGATACTCTCCTTGATAACATAGTAATATATGTGGCAGCTTGCCTCTTTGGTGGCGTTCCTGTGTTTGGAATCATGTTTTCTTATACTCGCATTGTAACCTCGATCCTGAGAAGGTCGTCATCAGAACGAAGATACAAAGGCTTTTCTACTTGTGGGTCTCACCTGTCCGTTGTCACTTTGTTCTATGGGACAGCTTTTGGGGTGTACATTAGTTCTGCAGTGACCAACTCACCCAGAAAGATGGCAGTGGCTTCAGTGATGTATTCTGTGGTTCCTCAAATGCTGAACCCTTTCATCTACAGTCTGAGGAACAGGGACATGAAGGAAGCCTTGAGAAAATTCCTTTGTAGAAAAGCTTCACTTATCTAACCTGCATTTGCTTTCTACTCTGGGTCCATCGTGAGTCAAGCCACAGTGACTGGATTCCAGAGGAAATACAACACCCGATCGGTCTCTCAATTAATGCTTTACAAATGGTAAAATAGTTCAATAGCTAGGGGTATTTTGAACATGGATTAATTCCAGACTTTGGGTTTTTCCTAGCTCTATAATGTGATACTTGAAATATTTCTGTTTCCTGACCTTAGACTTTTTATTAATATATGTTTGGAACACACATAACAAAGACATTCATCTTGGTACATTGGGCCATAAGCACATTATATTTTTATTTCATTTTTAATTATATATATATATATATATATATATATATATATATATATATATATATATATATATATATATATATATATATATGGTACAGGGTCTCACTACACATCTCAGACTTGTAATGGTCCTCTCTTTTTAGCCTCCCCAGCTCTGGGATTATAATCTGCCACCATGCCCGGAGGTGGTCACCAGTTCAGCATGCCCCGGGTGTAGGGGCTGGTGTGGCACGCGAGATTGGGGATTGAACTCTGGTCCCTGCGCTTACCAAAGCAGGCACTTAGTTTGCTGAGCTATCTTGCTCTCCCAGTACATTGCATTTTTAACATTTTGACTCACCCTTCACGTCTTTCCCAAGATTACTTTCAGATCTCCATAAACCCCACTTCATTGTTTCATACAATTTATATTTTATTGTGCACTGTATAATGCTTTGACTTTGGGCTTCTTAAATTGCAGAAACTATAATATTTAACTTCTGTTTCTCATATAGCATTATGTTCTGAAAGTCCATCCACTTTCATCCAGTGACTCAAGCTTGCCCTTCTTTTAAGATCAGCAATAAAGTGCTTCTTCTCAGTTACCAGAGAAACAGAGCTTGAAGTACAGATTCTTGGTTAAGTGTTTGCTTTGTGGCTCATAAAGAGCTAAGTTAGTGAAACACAGCTGGTCAGATGTGAGGTCTAAGAAACCTGGTGGACATAGCTCCAGAGCACCTTCCACATGGAAGTACGTGTGGGGCTCTCACTGCACCCTACGGTCAATTTCACTGTGAAGTACAGGACTGGATATTTACCTTGGGAAGCCACTACTGAGGTAAGTTAAGGGCACCTCTATCTTTAGGAGGCAAAAATAGTATCCATCATATTCAGCGCCATTGTCGTTAGCATTGTTACAATTGAATATTATTAGTGGTTTGATGTGATTATGACATACATGAAACTCATCTGTGAAGATGACTTTTAGCTTTAAAATATTAGCTATGCCATTAATATGCTTAAATAATAAAGATAGTTCCCTTGAGTTCATGGACCTCCAACTGAAGGAAAACAGTGAAACCACAATCTCATCTGCTTGCTCTAAAGTGGACACTGCTGCTCTTTCTCATACCCAGGCATCGACAGATGATGCGGTTGTCAACCCTAGAAGTGATGCCCAAGGCAACAGTCTGAAAGTTGGATGTGGGCTGACTTGGAAAATCTATTTTCCACTGGAGAACTTGATTGCATCTCTCTGTCATCCTATTTTGTTTTTAAGATTTATTTGGTACAGGATCTCACCGTGCAGCGTGGGCGAGTATTGATCCTTCTGTTTCAACCTCCCCAGAGTTGGGATTACAAGCATGCACCAAGAGGCCTGGTTTTGGTGGCCGGCTCGGCATGGGGGCAGCATGGAATGTGGTACCGGGGATTGAACCTGGGTCCTTGCACTTGCCAGGCAGGTGCTTAGACCACTGAGCTGTCTCCCTGGCCCTTTTGTATCATACTTAATATGTGCCTCAAATTATGTGCTCATCCTGTTTTATAAACTTGTAATTAACTTGCATTAAACATATATGAATGATGCTTTTTGTGAAAGGAGAAGTTCAGACAAGGAGAATTTAATGGAATATCAGGGATAAGTGGGCTTTAAATATAATCGCATAAATCCTCACAAGACAGAAGTAGATGGACAAGGAGTGAGGAAGGAGATACTGTAACCAAAAGAGAGTGACTGGGTTGATGCAGCCAGGTTTTTTTTTTTTTTTTTTTTGGAACCGGGGATTGAACTCGGCCCTTGCGCTTGCCAAGGAAGCACTTATTCCACTGAGCCATCTCCCTGGCCTGATGCAGCCAGGTTTTAAATGACAATATTTGCCCATTTTTGGGCCCCAAATCTGCCATTTCCATTTGACTCTAAGCATATTCAAACATCTATGTAGATCATCCTAAAACATATGTGATAGACGTGCTTCTATCTGACCTCATTAAAATTCAGATGGAATAATAAATTCCATGTCTACTGGTTATTTGCATGCTGCTTTACAATTGAGTTGTTTGTTTTAGTAGATTTTCCTTGATTTTCCAAGTGGTGCACATTTATATTAAGCTGGATGGAATCAGAAATAAAGTGTATTTCTGGCAGTGATGACTTTGGGGATTTATTTTTCTGCTATTGTGAAATAAGCATTTGAATGTTTTCTTAGATACCTGTTAATGAATGATAAGATGGAATAAAAAG